GGAACGATAAAAGGATTTGACTTATATATTTTTTTTTTCTCTCATAAAATCAGCGTAACGTGGTATTGTAACAACGTATCTATTTTTTTTGGAGCTTCCATTCCTCTTCTCTACTTTTTTCACCGTAATCGTATATGACTTGTTCCAGTTTTTGTAAAGTATGAAGTTTCACGTTTCTGTATAGCGTTTCAAAGTCTCGCGGATCGGATTCCGGCACAATGGGTTAGAAAGTTTGAAAAGGTTGAAATGATTTTAAAAGAATATAAAATCCATCGCAGCAGTCTCACATTTAACGGCAATGATACTTATTATGTACCCCGACAAAAATGGTTATCAAGTGATAAAAGAGAAATCACTGAAGTTAAAACGGCACAGAAAGTGAAGTTAAATTTTCTCACTATAAAGGTGTAACATGATTCGTTATGTTACACGCGATTCGAGTCAATGTTACATTACTGGACTCGAGTGACATTACTTCACTTCACTTTGTTACACTTCTCGGTTCGACCGTATTCGTACAGGAAAACGAGACTTGATCTGCGTTGATAAAGACTTCCTCCCTTCGCGCGATCCCTAATTGCCACCTTGTTAATTACCTGCAGCATGTGAAACTTCGGCCAACAAGTTCATTACCGGGGCGGACGGGACATATTTCACAGAACAACGTTTTATCCTCCTCGGCCAAAGAATGTCGGGAGACGAGCGTTGATACGGGTCGGCGGCGGAGACGCGTGCAGATCCGCTTTTCCTCGCGAGCGAATTAGAACCGGTTTCCCTTGATACGTTCATTGCCAAAGCGACCGATCGATCGGAGTGGTAGTAATAGTAAGATTCCAAGTGGAACGGTCAGTCACCGACACTTTTTATCCAACGCCAAGACTTCTCGAGCTTTTTACGCGCGGCGTGTTACACGTCACGTTTCCTGTTCACGTCACTGACTACACGAGCGTTCGAGAGCGTGCAGCGCGTTGCAACTGTGAACTTAGTTGCATTAAAATATGTAATCCTTATCTTAACAGAGAAGAACGCGATGCGTGACACGTGTAAAGCGCCGGTATTCGTCTAACATATTCGTTGGCAATTTAATGGGTCTCACCGACGCAAGGGAATTCAATGCTCGCTGTTAATAAGACTGATTGGCTCTATGTTTATTTTATTGCGCTGATTTACTATACTAATACTCGGCAATTAATATTCAACTCAGACGTGCATGCAGCTAACCAGATAAATTGACAGCGAACTTGTTAGGCCATGGTTACATTGCATTCATAATAGGACGAACTGACGTTCCAACGAATAAACATCCGAAGATGCCTATGCACACACCTTCAGCAATTTGTATACATATTTGATTGCTCCGAAATATTGAGTACGTTAGAACGGCAGTTCGAATACGCATCCAGTACAATTGCTGCCTTGATCATGCAGATCCACGCGTGGGACGTTCCCATTGCTAGACGACAGCTACCAAGAAACCCGGGCCACGATCGAGATATATCTGCGTGTTAGCTGTCTGGGCAGGTGCATCACTACCGAGATCCACTCTCCGGCGAGCATACGAAAGGCGTTCTACGCGCGCGAGGAATCCGACGACTATTACGAATATCAATTCCGCGAGTTGTCTTCCAAGGACGTTGAATCCTTCCACTGGGGCAGCGCGACGGTCCTGCCGCCCCTTCATCCCGATAAGCTCACGTGCCGCTGCAAGATCGAGGAGAAAGAGGAAGCCACGCAGACCACGGAGAAGAAAAAGAAACGCAAACGCGACGATTACGCCGCTCGATTGGCTCAAGTGCGGATGCTGCTGGAGACGATGAAAGAGATGAGGAAGAATAGACCGGAAATCACGGCGCACGGCCGAGGACCCAAGAAGACATGTCCGATTATGCCGACTCTGCCCACGTGTTTGCCGGCTGCGACTCCGTGTTTCGTCAGTTTGACCTCCACTTGTCCAACCTCGTGCCAACCGGCCACCTTCTGCTGTCTTCCGCCGCCATGTTGAACGAACAAGAGAAAGTACGCACACAAGAGGATCCTGGAGACGCGGAGGATGATGTGCAAATGTTTTGTTACGGGCCGCTCGCCGGGTCGATATCAACGCTTGGGTAAGATGCACTTCAAGTGCGTATTGAGACACATTAGAAAGTAGTTTGTAGAAAGTATAAATAGTGTACCGATAAAAAATTGAATCGGAGAGGGAAAACCCGATGGGGTCGTTTACCTAACTTCTGCGCAGCGATCGCAACGAAAATTAGTAGGGAACAATTTGAATGCTTCATCGTGGAAGTCGAAAGTGGACGAAGTAGCTGTTTCATTGTATCTAAGGTCAAATGTTTCTTTGAAGCCCGTTTTCTACTAAAATTCCATACAATTCAACTGGTGCTCGGTGTGTTCCTTCGTTACAAACCGAAAACATTCGAACATTTCGTACGTTCAAGATATTTCTTCTTTCTAGATTCAATCCTCGTAACCACGCACTTGAGGGCTTCCCCTAAAAATTGAAATTTCCCGGAACATTCCAGTTCCGACCATCCATCGGCTGTCCGAAGGGTACCATGTTTCCATCAACTGGTCAGTCCGCCATTTGCACTCAGTTTCCCGTCCCCAATCTCCGTCGGGATGTACGTAGCCCGGCATAAGACCGAATTTGCATGCAAAGGGAAATCGCGAAGACGTAGCGGAGAGTCCGGAGGCGTTCCGCAGTGGAATCGCGCGGCGGGCAAGGGGGTGAGGAATCTTTATCATTGTTCCAGTTGGATCATTCGGAGGTAATCAGAGGAATCGTGTCCCGCCGTGTTTTACGATCCATTCGTCCGTCGCGATTGTCCGAGTTCTCAAATTGGCCGGCACGAACTTTGTACCGTAGAAAGATAGAGAGAGACAGAGAGAGAGAGAGAGAGAGAGAGAGAGAGAGTTTCTTTCGAGGTATGCAACGGGTTACTTAGGCCAAGACTACGCGAGCTTTTTACACGTGGCACGGTACACGTCGCGTTTTCTCCGCTGAAGTAAGAATTGCATATTTCAACGTAACTGCAGAGGAATCACTCGATGGCTCGGAATATGAGTTTAATTCACTCAGTCGGTTCTCACCTTTCTTACGATGATAATTTACCGTTCATCAATAAGGTTACGCGTGACTAATGAAAACCATGAACAAAATACACAGCAGAACTCCTGTGCCGTTCTACACATCGAGTCTCCCTGCAATACACGAGCGTTCAATAATAGTGTTCCACACTCGTGAACTTAGTTGAATTAACGCGTTGACTGCCATGGTGGTCGCCGGTGACCAGTGTTTCCAAATTGCATGAAAACAATTACAATAAGAAAATCGATAATCAAAATATTTAGTAATACAAGAAGCTAGATAATAGTGTTATATGTGTAATACTGAAACGTTAATAATTATTAATACTATTTCCCTCTATCATAAAGGAATTAATCTTACTATAACAAAACGCTCGAGATTCTTGTGGCAGTCAACGCGTTAAAATGTACAGTTCTCGGTTCAACAAAAGCTAATCAAACCGTCGCTTAGTTCAGTCAAAATTGAGTATTATTTTCCTGCGATCAACTGTCGATTACTGCGGTAAGAGCCTATTGCAGTAACAGAGCAACAAAGCGCTTCTATCTCAAAGATAGGATAAGAGAACTTTACATCTTTGTCTCTGAAAATCCCATCACTGCGGCGTCGCAACAAGATCGCGTCGCTCGTCTGCATAGGCTCCGAAACGGTCGGGTAGTTCTGGTCTTATTCCGCTCCGCGAGAGAGCTGCGCCGCGGAAAGAGAGAAGAGATCGGAGCAGGCTTTTGTTCGTGAAAATGTCCTCGAATTTCCTTCTGTGTATCATCGACGCGGCGCAATAATCTTGTTCCGCGGGTAGTCCGCGACTCGCATGACGAGCCATCGTCTTTTGAGGAATCTCACCCTCTGCCAGCCAGGCTTGCGCGCACATAGTTTTTCAACGCCGCGTCCCGGCGCCGGCTCGATATTCACTTCACGCCGAGGTGTATTCCGATATTCCATGCAATTGAAAGCCGGCAGAGTTTTGCATTTTGATTATGGAGCACACTCGCTCGCTCGCTCCACGGTTTTCCATTTTGCAGGTGGACGAGCTATTTTAACGCGGACGGCATTAGGCGGAGATTTGGATCTCGGAGATGGAGTTCTTCGCAAATGGAGCTGACGCTTCCTTCTCTCGGCTAATAAATCCTTGCCACGGACGTTTTCTCGCGCTTGAAAATTGATAATGACCACGGGACACACGACGCACTCGGGGCGACGCCTCTGTTCTCTTTCTAAATAGTTTCTAGGTCTTCCGGCGGCGATCGTTCGTTAAATTCGAATACCGTGATGATGTCGAAACAATAAATATGTGAACGTGCAAATTTATTTGGTGGCTGTCTTTTCATTGTTGTTGATTTCTATGGCGTTGAGTCTTTTTTACGCTGATCGTTTGTATACGTTTGATGCTTGGGTAAAATTGTCTATTATTGGAGCGTCATGGCGTAATGGGGTAACTGGAAGTGTGTTATGATGTGCGGAGGAAATGAGAATTATCTGAACACTGGTTTTAAAGATGGTAAATAAATAGTGTACGTCGATGAGAAAGTGAAGAAGAACCAGTTATGGAACATCTGTGAATCTATATTTATGCAAATTCAGGAGTATTATTTTTAAATAAACGAGCAAGTATGTTAATGTTTAGGGTGTTAGGTTGATTCGAGTTTCTAAACAGTTTATAACATTATGTTTATCTATACGTAAGTGTACTGTGAACGCAAATTACCGATTAAGTTAATTAGGAGACCGTAATCGGTAAATGTTTTAGAAAGTAGGCGAGTTTATCTTACAATGTTTTGAGATATTATTTAGAAATCAGTTTAGACGTACGTATCGGTGTTTTTCTTGTAAAGGTCGATTATGTCCTTTTGCACGATTACCACTGAACGAGATTCTGTACATGTGATTTTATCGACAAGAGATTGATGATATCTCAATGGTTGATTGATCGATCCGAGAAGCTTAAACTTTCCGAGAAACAAAAGATTCTTTTTTTAGTAATAAAAATGCCATTTCAGTGGTTTCAGAATGGCTGCCAAGTTAATTATGTACGTAGTATCTGTCGCTTTCTACTATGTACTGCCAGCTTCTCACAGAATCCTCGTGACCCAATTGTATCCGCTGCTGTCTGTCACGTATTTTACATTTCCGGGTACCACATTACCGGGAAATTTAAATATCGTACAGATCCTTTTTCCTTCAATATTCCTTTAATTGATCCATTCCGGAATTAGAGACACTGGGATAAATACATTGTTAACCAAAGTTTCGAATCATTTGCTAATTATAATCTCAATAATTTCGCGAAGATATCTTGTGTTAAATTTTCTTGTAATTTATTTCAATGAATTCTCATTAAACCGAACATCTCCATTCTATAGAATAATTTCAAGCTTCTTATCGATGATGTATATACTCGCATAATTTCAATAAAAGTGTGAAATCGTATATTTCGAAAACGTGCTACGATCTACAACAGATACGGATCAGAAGACACCGAGCGCACACGAGTATTCATTAAAAAGTGAAAAATCGCGATGTAACGAGTTGCTGAACTCGTGTTCACATTTTGTTTTAGAGCCGTGTTTCGCACATCGACACTGCTCTTTGTGCGCAGCAATCCGCGTTTTAAAAAATTCCTTGGATTCTCGTAAATTCCTGGACAAAGAGACAACCGCGTCTTTCCCAGAGAAGCCATAGTCGACCAAGAGGAAACATTTGCTGTCATGTTGCGGGTAACGTATATAAGCGCAAGATGCCACAAAGGCGTACATAGATGCAAACTCGGCTGATCGATAGGACACACGGAGAAAGACTGAAAAGATACCGTTAGCCCTTGCGTTACTCACCGAACTGCTCCCAATTGCTTCAAAATTTAGCACGTTGGTTGCCACTGTAGTCATCGATGACCAGAGCATCCAAATTGCTTCAGAATAATTACAATAAGAAGATTGTTGTCGAATAAAAATATCTGTAACACAAGTATCTAGATAATAATGGAATATAAGTACTGTGTTGTCACATTATCAATAATTATTTCTAACACCATTTGCCTTTGTCATGAAAGAATAATTATTACCATACGAATCACTCGAAATTCAAGTAGCAGTGAATGCGTTAAAATTTTATATATAACACTAAACGTACCGTGATCGGTCAAATGATCGGTTTAAAAATTTTGTGGAAAATTCTGCGTTTCCTTCCGTTCATTGAACTTTCTATGAATTTTCGCCTTTACTTTTGTCTTTTTCCACTAAGTCACGTTTATTGTGTAACTCGTTCGCCTTTAATTTGTGACCGCTCATGTGATTGGTTATGGTAGGATTAAATAAATTTTCATTTCGCAATATAAATGAAACGCGCAATTCACACCTAACTATCTGATTTCCCGCACGGGAGTGAAATCCTCGCATAAACTCGCTCCGCGGAGATTCAGCGCTTCATTGTGCAACTTTGTACCATAATCATGCGCAACACTATGAAACAATTGATTGTAATTGCTGTCCGTGAACAGGCGATCGATGAGATGAGTAGAATGAGCCGTATATTCTCCGAGCCATAAAGTCCGTGGCGTTTATATTTGTTTTTACGAGCCGTAATGGCGAATCGTTCATAGATGTTTCTGCAATTCTGAAACCGCTTGTATGCGCGCGCGATCATAAACCACGCGATCGAATCCTCCGAGAGTAAATTTTTATAGCTCGTCAAAGAGCTACCCATAACTCGCGCGCGTTAACGATGTGCGAGCCAAATTCTGCGCAAATTAGTTCATTGACTAATTTGGTCGTGCAGGTAAATAAACGCAACGGTGATCCGTCGCACCGAGCGGTCGCCGAAAAGGTATGACGATCGACGAGGAAAACATGATGAAAGTGAAAGCGTGTACTTTCCTATTCACAGGACTTTGATAATGCACCGGCAATAAATCATCTGCACGAAAGCGTACACTGCCATTACACTGTTCAGCGGTTACTGCATTGCGTTAATGAAATCTCTGCTGGAACGAATCTCGGAACTCGCTGTGTTGCGCTCGACAGGATT